TTCTTTAGTATCTGTAATTAAACTTTCGATTTCAGAATCAAGCTTCCTTAACTCAGTTTCTTTTTGTTTCAATAATTCGACACATTCCTCTAGTTCTATTAAATTAATTTCATCTGCAGTTAAAATAGTTTCAATTTTCTTTACATAATTAGTAACACTCCTGCGTAAGAAACCGCTCTTTTTGTTTTAAAAGTTATAAGTTCACTCATAATTGATCAATTCAAAAACAGAAATTGTTCTTAAATCACTTAACACTATTATTAAAATGAAATCGAATTCTATGTTGTATTACAACATTGTTCTTAAAATTTAACAACAATTATAACGAATTTTTGTTCAAAATTCCACTTACCTCACAAAGTGGATAATTTTTCACAAACCATATACATATGCAATATTTATAATATTGCGTTGTTAGAATACACTTAGAACAGTCACTATCTTCACTAGCTCTCCGGCTAGACTTTTGACCAACAATAAATGTTCTTTAAACTTAATATGTTTCACAAACAAAATCAATTAAACACATGGACTGTATTCCTACACTTTTATTTCATACACTAATTATAAATTATGTCAGCGATGCGAAATAATTGATACAAAACAAGCGAGCCATTCTACATGGCTGTCACAAACACAATTCTATCAATCAATTATCTTGTTGCCACACATAAAGTTCAAAACTAAAGTAAGAAAAACAAAAGAAATTTACGCTGTTTGCAACAATAAAATGAAGCAAACGATACTCACATAAACACATAGTGTTTTGAATTCCATTACAGATATGTGTTTTCCAGTTCTGTGCAGTAGTTTTCAAATTTAATAAAAAACTATTCTTTCTGTCACGAGAGAAATATTTTTAAAAAACATATTTCCTTGGTCTTAGAAAATCCAAGGAGATTTACAGAGTTTTACGGCATGCTTTTACGCTTGGAAACTTCACGTAGCGTGGGTGGAAAATATATGGGAAATAGGGAATTTTAGTTTGTCTCCTTTTACTATTCGTATCTACGCAGCATTATTTTTCAGAAATCTCTTAATAATGTCAAATACTGTAGCAAAAAACGTCTTGAAATATAACGATTATACATTCATTGCATTTGGATCTTCGTTTTAATAAAATATACATTTTTATGAATAATATATGCTTACATTACAACGATTACTGTGATAAAGGCTGCATGCACAGTAATAAAGGTCACGATTCTCCTGCTGTCAAACATCAGATAATTATAAACTAAATCGCTAAAACGCAACGATATTGATACTCATAGCTTAGGTCATTGGCTTAATTACCAAATTTCAATAACAGAGAAATGCAAATAAACAGTTCGAAGTCATTTTCAACTGAAAATGTCATCTTGTCTTTTTTGGAAAATCTCACGCTTACAATTTACTGAATAACTGATATATTTGTTCTGTTGATCGATGTCAAGTAATCCATCATTAGCTTCAATATTCTGAGAGCTACGTCAATTTTCGTGACAATATGCTTGCATATTAAGTGTCAAGAAATTGAAAATGTTAGCCATTGAGTTTATTTATATCAATCTCGTTTCCTAATTGCTTGTCATAAATATTTTTCATGCGGTTTCATTTAAAATGAGTATTGAGTTCGTGCAAATGCTATTTTCTTTTAGTTGCATTGAAATATAAAAATCAGCTTAAAATAAAATCTATTTAAAATTAAAAAAATGCTTATTTATTATTTTAAATATTGCTTGTGAAATGTCGAAGATTTCTTCAGTACTATGCAAAGATTATGGATGCAAAAAACAGTGCTTTCAGTTTATTTTTTAGAATAATATAATAAAAAATGGGAAGCTAAAAGTTTGTTTTATCCAAACTTATTCCGTATCATCCAAATATCGGAAAAAATAATTTAAGGTGGTTTAAGAGCATAGGTACATGTAAATTTAACCCGTAATCACACACAAAATATTTGAAAGAGCCAAATGTTTACAGCAACCTTTTAATATGTTTATCGGTAACGAAAAATAAACGACTTTTTTCTCTCGTAAGTACGAAGTTGCAGATAGTACATCTTTGACTATCAATTATAAATATGAAGTTGAAGATAGCACATCTTTGCCTATCAATTATAAATATGCATAATTTATCAAAACAAGAGCTAAAAACACTCTTACTCAAAACGAAATTGGCGGTCTCAAATCTTCTTGCTGCGTGATACTTGCTTTCGGAGAATATATAAAAGCAGATGCATTATCATCAGGTTTATTCTACATCGTGGATTCTAAATCCGAGGGAATTTCTCCTTGGAGAATTTCATAGTTTTAAAGGGAAGAATGTGCTCTCTCAGACTGCACTTCCTTCTTATTCTGTCGTTAAAAATATTCCAAATCTAAGTAAATATTTATGTGTCCTTTGGAATTTTGGAAAAGGCGAATCTGGCAATGGTGAAGAAGTGCATGAGTCAAAACAGGTTAAGAATCTCTAAATCTGCAAATTAGTCTTAGTCAGTCATAGCAAACCTATAACACACGTGAAAACATATGGGATAGATATGGGATAGTATGGCAGCATTCATCGACACTCAACAAAGATTTTCTCCATGTTGAGTACAGTTGATCTACGCCATTCTGTGAATTGCTATTTTGTGACCATTAATTATCCTTTAGCATCTTTAATAATTTCACAGAAGCTCATTCTGTCTAAAATACTTTATTCTCGGATTAAAGAAACCTGAGACTTTAAAAAGAGCAAGTGACATATGACGTTAGCGCTGCTTTCTTTGCCTCAAGTGTACGTCTTAGTTACTTTCAGGTTCAGATTTATAAAATAAGAAAACAAGAGAAAATTAGTAAATCTAAGTTAAGTGATGATTCAAATTTAATTCCGTTTAATTCAATTTTTTTTTCAGTCAAGATGTTTAGATTGCGTTATTTTAAGCTAAGGTGCAAAATATGTTCACTGTATTTTGTGTCGAAAATCACTTAATTTCCTCTTTTCTCTTAAGCTAAATATATATTTATTTATATGTGTGTCAAAATTGTGGCTTTTCTAATATTTACGGAACGTGCTATATGAATTGTATTTTAATAACAAAACTCTGTTTAAAGGAAAAGAATTTTTTCACTATAAGTATTTTGCATGCATGTATACTGAATTTGATTCATTGTCATTTTCTGTCTTTATTATTTTATTAGCATTCTGTTCATAACGGGTATTTGTAAATTTTTGTTACATTTATGTGGGATTGATGCTAGGCATTTTGCCTACCCAGTACAGTCTCTGCGGATTCCCTGTCCTTCATAGGTTCTTAAACTTTAGCCGCCCCAAAATTTTACTACCCATTGTCTCTCCTAAATTTTACTGCTCTATGCTCCAGTAGATTTTAAAAATTTTATTGCCCCTAAACTCTGCCATCCCTATCGACCACATTGATTGCAGCAATTTTGGCAGTGGCCCTGTGTTTATCGAAAATGTATATAAACCTTGCGTGAATATTCTTCTGTATTTTATTTTGCATTGCTTTTGTATTCGTGTTTTGTACAATTTTTAATTTTTATATATTTGCCGCCTTCGTTTAATATGTTTTGGGAATAACATTTGAGATTTTTTGACAAAAGGTTTTTCAAGCCAAAGGCTGGGGCACATATGTTCCAGCCGTAGTTAATGGTGAGATGTATATGTCCCAAATGTAGCGATAGACTTAATATACGTAGCGATGGACTTAATATATAATAGCGATACACCTATTATTCTGGAATAAAGTTTTTATGAAATAGATTTACGTCGTACAGAACAGGTTAAAAGCATTCTTTGCATTAACCAACACTACACGTTGGGCAATTGATATTTGTTCTTTTATCTATGTTCATTTGTGTACAAAGAGCACAGCGGTGTCTTAATTTTCCAACTATTGGCAAGTGATCCCCAGCATTCAGAAGATTCTAAGTGCTTTTTAACTTATCAGTAAGTTTTAAACTTTTAGTGGGACATATATATCCCGTTAGTAGGCAAAGGGTTAACTTACTCAACTATTTGAAAGTGAGAAATTGCAACTCTGTTCGAGATAAAGCATTTTTATCTCCAGTGCCAGACTGGTGTCATTCCGGAAAACGTAAAATATTTATCTTTAAATTTTAATGCACTAATTCGGCTATTTGAAAACCACGTTTTGCTGCTACACCAAATAGTATACTTACAGTCTCTAAGCACTAGCGTGTTGCTAATTGGTAAAGTGTAAGATATTTAACGTTCAAATTTAATCTTTCTGTTACTGAGTAGTCACTGATAAAGCAGTAAAAGGTGTTCTTAAAAATAGTATTTCTGCATCTGATTGATTTTAATAAAAATGAATTTAAATCATGATATAGCTAACTGGAAATATTAAATATCTTTATAAAATAACATACGCTAAATGAATGACGCATTAAAATCATAATATATTGTATTGTTTTTCCTATAGAAGTTCTTTGGAGCAGATAGTTTTCAAAAAATAATACATAGAATATAAAAGAATGTATAGCAATCGCTAAATCTCTGCTAGAAATTCTAAAGATTTATTACCGGTTTTAAACATTTTGTGATTTTACTGATGAATTTTATGCTGTGTAAATGCGAAGAAAGCGATAGTTAATAATGAAGCTAAAGAGACAAAAACAAATTTTGTTAGCAGCAGTGAGTTCAAGAGCAGATTGGTAACCTGCGATCTCAGCGAAAACATGAAAGACCTTAAAAAATCTTCTGGAGCGACATTAGAATCTGAATTGTTTAAAATCTTTTCCCTCCTCCTTTTTTTGTGTGTGCTAAACTGTAAACTGTATTTTACATTTTATTTAACATAGAAAGAGATCGTATGATACAGAGATATTAAATTGCACCTCTTCCTCTTGTCTAGGAGATTGAAAATCACTTGTATGGGCCTACGGGGAATCTAAATCTAAATATCGGATATTTTCGAAAATGTTCAGGAAGAATTTTTTATTTATATTTGCCAGCAAATGGTTGTATTTGAAAGAAATGAGAGACACGTGTTTTTATTAAACACTTTATTCACTCTTAATTCAGAGTAGGAAACGTCGTTTAGATAGCCTGGATGGCTCCTACCAGTCCATCGAATGTCTCTTCACACATAGGTAGGATCAACTTCTGTGGCAGGAAGAAACCATATCGACCCGTATCCCTGAGCTCTAGAGCAAAAGATAATTTGACGTTTTCCTTAACGTAGGCATAATCCACGGACGAGCCTGCTGCTTCATCTAGTTAACAATGAAGGAAAGGTGAATGATGATAATTAGCAATTGTGAAAACATTGCCAAAATTAAAGTAAGAAATTGTTATCAGATGATCAGCTCTAAAATGCTTAATTTAATATAATTTTCATCTAAATATCAATTGCAAATACCCGTCCATTATAAAAGCATATAATTTTATATATCATAAGATTAAAATTTTATCATTAAGAAATGAATAATACACTGATTACCAATAAGTATTTGGACACCTATGCAAATGACAATATCTGCGGTCCTAAGATACGTCACGGACTCCGCTGGTATATATCGTGTAGGAAACAGCATCGGATTTAGTCGCATGCAAGATACCTCGCAGTTCGGAGCTCTTTGATTTCGAGAAAGGTATAATTATCCGGTATCACAAATGTGGCAGATCCTTAAGGGACATATTTAGCGACTGAAGTACCCAAAATCGACAGTGGCTTATGTGATTAAGAAGTGGAAGGTGAGCGGTTATTGTCGAAATGTGCTCCGAGTAGCAGACCAACGAAACTGGGAGATAGAGACCAATGAGTGCTGTCCAGAGAAATTCGGAAGAACCGCACCCAACCGATGGCCCTCATCCGCGAGGAGTTTCAACAGGCATCCGGGAGTATTGTTTCAATGAATACCATCCGTAAGGAAGCACATCTGGTTTTCATGGTCGTGCTGCTGCCCATAAGCCTTTGATCACAAAGTCCAACCGCGCTGCTTGGTTAATGTGGTGCAAAGCACATCGAAATTGGATCGTAGATCAGTGGAAACGGATTCTTTGGAGTGACGAATCAAGGTTCACCCTTTACCGTTCGCATGGCAGGGTCTGGGTCTGGCGTCTACCTGGAGAACGTCTCCTGCCAGAATGCATTGTGCCAACAGTCAAGCTCGGCGGAGGTGGAATTATCGTCTGGGGGTGTTTCTCCTGGTATGGGCTGGGACCCTTGGTCCCCATTCATGGTAAGCTCAACTCCGATGCCTACTGTACTATTTTGGATGACAATGTGCTTCCTACGTTGTGACAGTTTTACGGGTTGGACCCCTGTTACTTTCAGGACGACAATGCCAGTTGTCATGTTTCGACGTTAACCAAGGCTTGGTATGGTGCCAATGGAGTTCATCGAATGGACTGGCCTGCCCAGAGTCCAGACCTGAACCCTATCGAGAACCTCTGGGACGAGTTTCATCGCCGAATTCAGGGGTGCACTACCCGTGCAAAATCGGTGAAGGAACTTCTATGTCTTCTCCAAGCCGAGTGAAAGGAACTACCACTAGCTGTCATACAAAGACTTGTGGAAAGTATGTCCCGGAGGGTCCACGCTGTGATTACCTCTCGTGGAGGCTCTACCAACTATTGATTTTGAATAAAGTTAGTTTTTCTTTTCTATCACAGGTGTCCAAATACTTTTTCGTAGTCAGTGTATGTGTGTAATATGTTATCACTAGGAAATGAAATAATTAAAAAATCAATTACAATATCTAAAATTATTGTTAAGGTGTAAAATTTATAGGTAATGCAAGTGCGTTCGTCGAAGCATACTGTCAATTTTTTGCAAAAACAATAATAAATTTCCCTACGCCATACATAGTTTTCCAGCATCGTACTTTACATAATTTTAGCTTTCTTCTGACTTTACTTAAAATATTCTTTTTTTGCAGTTTCAGCGGTAGAAATTAAATGTTACCTGTAATGGTATTATGCTTATACTTATTATTCCTGACGGAGACCCTTGGCCTACAACCGGTTAGCCGACAAGACACTTAGCAAAAGGATATTTAGCTGACATATAAATTTAGCCGATGACAGGACATTTAGCCGAGACGGATATTTATCTGATAGGGACAATTAGATGGATTACAGGACATTTAGTCGACAGAGTATTTAGCAGAAATGAACAACTAGTCGACAGAACATTTAGTCGAGACGAAGATTAGCCGATAGCCGTCAGGACCTTTAGCAGTAGATTATTTAGCCGATAGAACTTTAATCGGCAAGGCAAAGACGACAGCATGATTAGCTGACAGTTAGTATATATAAAACAAAAATATGCTGCAGGTTTTGCAAATATATTTTAGTAAACTTTTTCAAGCTGCTTCCAGGATACACAAAAAGAAGGCTTCCTGACAAATACCGCATTTTTGGCTTTATTTAATGCTACAAGAGTATGTATTTTAAAAGACAGAAAAGCATCCATAGCTTGGCGTAGATCTTGAAATCATGTCATCAGAATAGGCGTCTCTATTTCAGAAGGGCAAAAACAAATCTCTTCGGCTCCCTTAGAGTTTAGAATATCATGGCACTCTTACAGCTAGATTTAGACCGTTGTTGCCGTTCCTGTCACGCTACTTTGGGTTTTCATTTCAATAAGATAATGCTTTATCGCGCATAGCACACATATCTATGCCTCTGCAGTTAAATAACATTTTCTTCGTCAACTAGACGACTAGATCTATTCCACATGGAACATATTTTAAGGCCAATGGGAAAGTTTTCTTGATCATTTGTCAGTATCAACGAATTAACTGGACATTAGAGACAATTTTTCAAGCATATCCCCAGGACACCATCCACTTATTGGAAATGGTGTCATACCTTTTAACAATTTACATCCAGACCAGAGGTGGAGCGACGACTTGTTTAGTTTCGCTTAATGAACAGCAATCTTTCTGCCTGTTGAGAAAGAGAGATAGAGCATCATATACTCGCAAAATTACTCATTCGTTTTTTAGTTTATGTATGTCACATATATTAATTCTTGTCTCAACTAGACATTTTCGTTTTGGTATATCGATTTTTATATCTTAAAATCAATTTCTCATGATGCTAAATTCTAATACAAAGAATTAATTACATCTATGCATCTACAGAAGATTTTACGTTAGTCACTTATAGCATCATAATATTATAACTGTAAAACATACTCACAAATGATATTCGCAATAGATCCTACTTTGTATTGAGTACCGTATTTCGCAGCTAAAGCTTTAGCACCTGCCTTTCCAACACGCTCCTGAAAGTAGAATAATAATTTGCAGAATTCGTGAAATTTTAATTACATTATGAGTATAACCTGTAAATATACCTTCATAATCAATTTGCAGCTTGTGACTTGCTTGAAGAAACAAGCAAAATATGCATCTATGTTTCTGGAACTGCTAAGGAAATAAAAATGTGTTCTGAATACTTGCTGTCCGACAGTTCACCTCTACATGTTGCAAGTAAAATGCGTAATGGTGAATTGATAAGTTATTCAGTAATCCGTTACTAATCAAAGAGTCAAAAATCTATCTGCCTGAAAATATTGCGCTTAATAAAGAAATTTAATGTATTTTTAAAATATTTCGATAAAAAAATTAAACACGTAAACGATATCAACAGTTAACTACAAAAAACACTGTCATTAATTTGTGCCTCAAATGATACATAACATATCTAAAATAATTTTGATTTTAAGTTAATGTTTTTCAGTGATGAGAATCATAATTTTCTTATCGTTAATGATGTAAGTATTTTTTTATTATTAATAGGCTTACTATGATAATTTTGCTCGAGCTAGAAAACTTCTGAGAAAATAATCACAACCGAAAATAAAATTTATTGGATAAGTATTTATTAAAAAGGTTAAATGATGAAGTTGTTAACCAAAACGAAAAAGTTGAAAACTTTTTAAAACCAACTGAACATATCTTATCATTAAGAAATTATTAGTATTTGATACTGATCCGAAATTTCTTTATTTTTTATTTGTTAGTATTTAGTTACATTTATTTATTAATAGTTATTAATTATTTATTGATTTATTTGTTATTTTTAAAGGCATTAAAAAATTCGCTGCAATTCAGTTTACTGTTAATTTAGCAGATTAATAAAACTTTTACGATTAATTCAGCCATTCTACTTCTTAAGATCACACGATATTCCTTATTGATAATACTCCTTCGACTGATGATGTGCCAGGCATCTTGAAAATGTGTTCTATTATTTGAACAAGATTAGGCAATGAACGTTTTTACTTTCTTGTACGAAGTAAAAAGGAAGTATTGTAATCGCGAAAAGTTTCAGGCAGCATATTTCAACGAAAATATCCATTATGACCGCTATCGAATGCAATTTAACGATATTTTTGCGTGATATCTGTACGTAAGGAGAGAATAAAAGACTCGTTTCCTCAAAAAAAATTATAAAACTGTTTTAAAATTAATTCTGAAGAGAAATTTTCGTGGCGTCTGTACGAATGTATGTACGTACGTATCTCGCATAACTCAAAAACGAGTAGCCTCAGAACTTTGAAATTTTGTATATAGGACTGCTATAACATGTAGATGTGCACCTCGTATTTTGGTTGCAATCGGCTGCACCAAACGTATATAAATATATTTCTATATATATCCACTCTGTTACCCCGCTCAGTGATCTCAGTATCTTTACTCTTATATGTTTGTAAATTGAACATTTTTTGCTTTAAAAATGATTGAATTATGTTGTTTTTATCTTCCGATAAAGGTTTTTATGCCTTTCGTAATTCTGTATGCAATATTTTTAGAATTAGCAACAATTTTAAAGCTCTTTAAGTGCCGCTAAGCCTTTTTTTTATGGCGGCCATTGATTGTTTACATTTGAAGCAGCAGACTAGTGGATTTGTTGAGAATCTAGAGAAACTTAGCTTCGCAACAACAAAGATAACGCCTTCATTTATTATTGCCAATTAAATCATGCTTAATCCTTTCTGGAACTTTTTCGAGGAAATAAGTCTTTAAGATTTACTTCGTAATTTTTAATATAGATATTTTGATTTTTTATGTATTTTTGCCTTCTCGCGAAGTGAGAACTGAATTAATTGAATGAGAAATACTCAATAGTTTGTGAAAAACTGTTTCTCTTTTGTTTTGTTTGCTTAATTTTTTTATACATCATTCTAGCTTTATTATAATATTTGAATAGAACATGTGGCAACGATTAGATAATTCTATTCTTTGATATAAATGTTGTCCATTTTGAGTTATAATATGAACGAAATATAATACTTTTAAGTGAATCTAGCGCCAGAGTGTCGCTATGGTAAACAAATACTAGAGTGAATTTTAAAGAATGCATTTATTCTATTGTGGTTTATGCCCTGTCGGCGAAGTAGATTTAATTCAATCCAATAAGTTTAAAGGAAATGCAAGAAAAAATGCGTATAATTTAATATTCCGTACAAGGGAAGTCATGTGGTGTACACATCAGATTTTTTCTTCTAAATAACTTAAAAGTTATATACATTTTTCTTACAACTTTTGTTCTTAAAATTTTCATAATTAGCTATACAAAAAGCTTTTCCAATTACTGTTTCATCAAAATGTTGATCTATGTTTACTGTATTATTTGTGAGAGTTGCATTAAATTTTTTCACTTGAAGTTTCAATTTCCGACCACGATAATTTACTTTTGTTTATCCAAATAAAAGATTCTGCTCTACCAAGACCGTTTTCTCATAGCTCAATATACGAAAGACATCTATCAAAAAAAGCTATAACCTCTTTTAGGATTGTATTGGTATTAATAGTGTGTATTCGACACTTTTACAATTTTACCAAATCACTGGAATTAAAAAAAGTAATATAAAAAAATTAAAGTCATTTCCTGCTTAGGTCAAAAAAATGTTTATTTAGTTACTTTTTATTAATATTATTAACATTTTTCGTTTCTCATTGGCAGCTATAGAATAATTAGTATATATAAATAAGTAGGAATTGACTTTAATATGAGAAAAACCTGTATTACCATTAAGTTTCATCCACTACAAGTTTAAAAAAGTGTATTTGAACTTGATTGGATGAATAAAAGGTATTTTATTAACGACTGAAAATTTGAACAAGATATAGGAGCAGTGTGAGCTAATAGTAGGAATTTAATATCTAACTGGCCAGGACACAGATACCGCCTCATCAAATCGGGGCAATCTCGCTCAAAGGGGCCCGTCTAATAAGCATAATTATTAAGGCACTGCAGTTAGTTTCAAAATTTGCACCACAATTCTAATTCTTCTTTCAAGAAATTATACATAATATATCGTTATTTATACTGTTTTTTTTACCTTAAAATCAACTGTAATATTTTTAATAGCATTTTTACCTGAAACTTCTAAATACACGAATATCAGCCCAAACAGCCAAATTTCAGAATAGCATAACTTTGTGCCCAATTTGTGCTCCATTTTTGCTCCAATGAAAACGAAATCGCCGAGCTTTAGAATATCACCAAAATGTTGAACAAATGTTATATTTACTTAAGAAGTCGCTCTCTTAAATTTTGATTGGATCTTAATGGACTAAATAATTTGGTATCATGATATTCTTTTTTTCGCCTATAGTTATATTATATTCTTCTCTCATCGCTCAGGAATCCATATCTTCTAGAGATCCATAGTTTTGGTATTATTAAGCGTATATTTATTACCCATTATAGCAAATAATGAAACAGAATTTGAATAAGGACTTGACATGATTCTCGTGTGACTAATTAAAAACACACAAAACATTTGCAAACAAAACTTGAAGAGTTTTTCTTGCATTTCACATATTATTGGGTACGCTTTATAAAACTTTAAAAGCATAGCCTCTTGAAGCATAGTTCAATTATCTTGACTCATCTTGACTATGGGGATACTATAAAATATTCATAATCCAGTTCAATCCATAGTAGGGTTTCAAGTGGATTATGGATCAATTATCTTGACTATGCGGATACATTTCAACTATGACAATGTAGTAGTGCTGTAAGGATCTTAAGTTTTACTAACGTTTATTTATTTAAAATCTTTACTATCACTTCTTATTTTCTACTTCCGACCAGAATTATAAGCGTTAAGGTTTTTATGCAAAGTTTGTCTGGCGAACGCCAAGTATTTAAGTTGTGGCTTTTTGCCAAGCGAGAGAGAGGAAGCAGTGAGTCGAAGCAGCCGCTTACCTTAGAAGTTACGCAGTTACTTGTTGCCTTCCAGGCCAGAGGTTTCAATCCTCTTGATAAATTGTAAACGTATTGTAGTGTTCACAGTTCTCTGTACTACATACGCTTCCTGTTATTATAAGGCCAATCTTCCACGTTTATTAAAGTTAAATTAGAGTTTAGTTTTATTTTTATACTTTTACGTTTTGACCCCAAGTAGCGGGTCTGTGTATTCCGAAGTACGGAAGTTATTGTAAATAGAGAAAAAAATAAAGGGTTTTGTATACCCTTCTTGTGTATCCTGTCTACTTCCCACAATTAGTGAACATAGCTTTAGTAAGCTCTCTGTTCCGAGTCAGGTCCTTGCATGTTCCCGAAGAAGGTAAGAAGGAACATTGAACCTGATAGTGGCGCCCACGAAGAAGAATAACCATGGCCGAGTTTCAAGAAGAACCTGTGCTGCCTGCAGAAACGGCTCAGAATCCAGAAATGCCAGCTGCCGCCCTGGAAGGATTTGGTTACATCGTCCAGACCATGCGCGCTTCGATTGAAACCAGAAGCAACATTTAATGGAAACTCACCGGTTAACCAGTTTTTGGAAAAATTGGATGACCACTTCCTGCTCTATGCCGTGCACGAGTTTCAAAAAGTTACCTTAGCTACCAGCGCTTTGAGGGGCCAAGCGCTTTAACTGGTTCAAATGTTATAGGCAGAAGTCTCTTGGATCAAGCAGGAAGTCCCACCTATACTTACGCGAATTTCAAGACTGCCCTACTAAAATCCTTCCTGTTGTAAGGGATCGTGTGCGAAATTAGAAACGGAACTTTTAGTATATATCAACAAAGAATCGAAAACCTCTCAAGCTTTATTTTAAGAAAATTTCACGTCTTCAAACTCTTGTATGGAAACCGTCCGGATCCTGAAATAATTCAAGTGATTTTGCCGAGGTTACTGCCCCAAGTGCAAGACTTTATTGAATTAAGAAATCCGACTACACTGGAAAAGTTATTTGAGCTAGCAATCCAGTTTGAAAGTAGAAGAACGGCGGACGTCGAAAGAACGCCAATATCAACAGCGAAAACC